CCGCCGGGCCTGGGGGCGGGGCGGGGATCGACAGGGACTGCCTGGCGTCTGCCGCCGCCGGGCGGGGTCCGGATCCCGCGACAATCCTCCGCCCCACTTCCGGGGCCGCCACTTTCACTTTCTCTTCCGCCGGAGCTACTCTCCCCTGCCCCCCCGCCAGACTGCCGGCGGCCGCAGCGAGGGGACGGAGTCGGGCAGGAGTCCCGGGCGGCGGGGCGCCCCCAGCAGGGAGAAGTGGGGACCCTCCCGGGATCTCGTCCCCGCCAGGCCTGTCCTGTTGCCTCTGTCGCGCGTTGCGGGCTTGCTCGGGACCCCCCGCCCTTGCACCTCCCACGCGGCGGCCCGGCCGGTTCCCTACCCCAGGCCCGGTCCCCGGGTGCTGTGATGCTACCCGACTGCCGCCGGGGACACCGAGGCACAAACAGGGCTCGGGCCACGCGGGAGGCCCCTGGCCGGGCTGACTTGCTCCTGGTCGCCCGCCCTCTCCCAGGTGACCGGCGGTAGCATTTCCCCGGAGCTGCAGCCCCCGCCTGGGGGGATGGGCGCAACCACGCCGGATGGACGAGAAGACCAAGAAAGGTGGGCGCAACCTGGAGGCGACTGGAAACTCCGGGTGGGAGGGGGGCCCGGGCAGGACCCGGCCTCCCCTGCCCAGAAGGGCCTGGGAGAGGGGCCTTTAATCTTGACCTCCCCGGCTGGTGGGGTGACAGACCTCAATTGACCTGAATACCAGGGGTCCTTGCCTCCCCTCTTGCCTCTGCTACTCAGCATAGCATTGTAGAACATAAGTCAGACCGTGTCCCCACCCTGCTCGGAAACCCTCCTGTGCTCCTGTGTTAGAACAGAGCCCAGAGCCCTTGGGTAGCCCACAGGCCCTGCGGGCTTCCAGGACCTTACAGTCTTCCCCCGTTAGCCCCCTTGCTCACTCTGCCAGAGCCGCACTGGCTTCTTTCTGTTCTAATCCAACAATTTCTTGCCCAAGGCCCTTGCCCTTACTCTGCTCTCCACCCAGAACATGCTTCCCCAACTAGGTCTTGATGTGTCCAGCGTCTCCTTCAGGTCTCAGCTTCAATGTTACCTCCTTACAGGCCTTCCCTGATCTCCTTACCCTGTTTATTTCCTTGCCAGCGTGGATCACTATCTGAATTTTTTTCTCTCGTTAGACTTAACTATCTGTCTCCTCACTGGGCTGGGAAGTCCATGAGGAAAGGAACTCTGTTTATCTTATTCACTGCTAAGTCCCAGTTTCTGGGACAGTGGCTGGCACACAGTAGGAGCTCAGTAAATGCTTGTGTAGATAAATGAATGGAAGTATGGGAGACCCTGGGAGTATGTGGGAAAAATGAGCCGCGGGGGCGGGGGGAGAGAATGTCAGAGTAGGCCTCCCAGAGAAAGGGACTGTTAAGCTGGGTGCTGAAGGATATGTAGGAGTTCACCAGGAAGACAGAGAGGAAGCAGCATGTACAAAGGATCACCTCCTCCCTCACCCCTAGCTCCTGAAAAATAAACCCTGTGCTAACCTGCTTCCACTGTGCTGGTTTTCAGCCGAGGAGATGGCCCTGAAACTCGCCCGAGCAGTGGCAGGCGGGGATGAACAGGTGGCTATGCAGTGTGCCACCTGGCTGGCAGAGCAACGAATGCCCCTGGTTGTGAAACTGAAGCCTGAGGTCTCCCCAACAAAGGACATCAGGTAAGGAGTGCATGGCTGACCAGGGACTTAGGGCTTCCTGAACCCCGGTGGGCTGCATCATATTCTTGCCTATGGAACAGTTATTCTTAATGGCAGGTTCTGGTGTCAGGAGACTTAGCTTTAAACCCCAGTTCTGTCACTAATCAGCTGTGAGTTCAAGGGCAGGTCACTTCACCTCTCAAGAGTTTCAGTTTTTTTCATTTTAAAATTGGGGCAATAATAGTAGCTATCTTATAGAGTTGTTAGAAGGTATATTAGGATGTTAGGCCTCATACAGCAGGAAAAACCTAACAGTGGTGTAAACAAGTTTGATGGCAGGCAGTCCAGATGTGGAGGCTCTGCTCCCTATAGTCCTCAGAGACTCATGCTTCTTCTGTCTTGTTATTCTGCCATTCACGGCTTCCATTCTCAGGTTCACTGCATGGTCCAAAATGGCTGTTCCAGCTCTAGCCGTCACATCAGCATTCTTGTCGCCAGGAAGGAGGAAGGGAAGAAGGGCACCCCCTCCCATACTCCTCTTTCAAGCACAGCTCAAAAAGTTGCACACACTTCTTCCACTTAATTCCTGTGGACCAGAACTTATTCTCACAGCCATACTCAGCCTGAAGGGAGGCTGTGAAATATAGCCAGGTATCCAAATAGAATTGAGGAGAATGGAGAGTGGATACTGTTAGTCTTTGCCCCAGGAGACTTAAACTTGATGCTGAAACACTTAGCACAGTGCCTGGCACATGTTAATCACTCAATAAACATGAGTATTTATCTTTTTTTTTTCCCTGCTGCATAGTAAGACAATAGTCTTACCATTTCTGATTTTCAGTCATCCTGGTGGACTGCATTTGATTTTTTTTTTGGTGAGGAAGATTAGCCCTGAGCTAACATCTGTGCCCATCTTCCTCTATTTTGTATCTGGGACACCACCTCAGCATGGCTTGATGAGTGGTGCGTAGGTCCACACCCGGGATTCAAACCTGTGACCTCTGGGCCACCGAAGGGGAGTGCGTGAACTTAACCACTACGCAACCCGGTCGGTCTCCCCTATTTGATTTTTTAACAGCTTTATTGAGATATAATTGATATGCCATACAATTTAGCAATTTAAAGTGTGTAGTTCAAGGCTTTTAGTATATTCAGAGTTGTGCGACTGTCACAACAATCAATTTTAGATCCTTTTCATCATTCTGTAAAGAAGCCCCGTACTCGTTAGCAGTCACGTCTCATTTCCCTACCTTTCGCCAACCCCCCAGCCTTAGGCTGCCACTAATTTACTTTCTATCTCTAGGCATTTGCATAATATGGGAATTTCATATAAATGGAATCATACAACATGTGGCCTTTTGTGTCTGGCTTCTTCCACTGAGCATCATGTTTTCTAGGTTCATCCATGTTGCAGCATGTATCAGAACTTCATTACTTTTTATTGCCAAATAATCCGTTGTACGGATATACACATTTTCTTTATCTGTTAATCAGCTGATGGACATTTGGGTTGTTTCTACTTTTTGGCTAATAGGAATAATGCTGCAATGAACGTTTGTGTCCAAGTTTTTATGTGGACGTATCTTTTTTTCCAGCTTTATTGAGATATAATTGACATATAACATTGTATTAGTTTAAGGTATACAACATAATGATTTGATATATGTATATGTTTTGAAATAAGTTTAGTTAACATCTGTTGCCTCACATAGTTACAAATTGTTTTTTCTTATAATAAGAACTTTTAAGATCTACTCTTTCAGCAACTTTTGAATATACAGTGCAGCATTGTTAACTACAGTCCCCATGCTGTACATTACATCCCCAGAACTTACTTATCTTATAACTGGAAGTTTGTACGTTTTGACCACCTTCACGCATTTCCCTCTCTCCCCCACCCCCCACCTCTGGCAACCACTAATCTGTTTTGTTTCTCTGAATTTGTTTTTTTTAGATTCCACATATAAGTGAGATCAGATGGTATTTGTTTCTCTGTCTGACTTATTTCACTTAGCATAACACCCTCAAGTTCCATCCATGTTGTTGCAAATGGCAGGATTTCCTTCTTTTTTATGGTCGAATAATATTGCATTATATATTTCATTTCTCATTCTGTGGGTTGTCTTTTCATTTTTATTGATGGTGTCCTTTGAAGCACAAAAGTTTTTAATTTTGATAAATTCCAGGTTATCTATGTTTTCTTTTGTTGCTTGTGCTGTTGGTGTCATATCTAAGAAACCACTGCCTCATCCAAGGTCATGAAGATTTATCCTTATGTTTTCTTCTTTTTTTTTAATTTTATTTTATTTATTTATTTTTTTTCCCCCAAAGCCCCAGTAGATAGTTGTATGTCATAGCTGCACATCCTTCTAGTTGCTGTATGTGGGATGCGGCCTCAGCATGGCCGGAGAAGCGGTGCGTCGGTGCACGCCCGGGATCTGAACCCAGGCTGCCAGCAGCGAAGCGCGCACGCTTAACCGCTAAGCCACGGGGCCGGCCCCTTATGTTTTCTTCTAAGAGTTCTATAGTTTTAGCTCTTATATTTGGGTGTTTGGTCTATTTTGAGTTATTTTTTTTATATGGTGTGAGGTAGGGGTCTAGCTTAATTCTTTTGCATGTCAATATCTAGTTATCCTAGCACCATTTGTTATAAAGACTATTCTTTCCCCGTTTAATCATCTTGGGACCTTTGTTGAAAATTAATTGACCATAAATATGAAGTTTATTTCCGGACTTTAATTTCTATTCCATTTTTCTATATGTCTGTCCTTATGCCAGTACCACACAGTTTTGAGTGATGTAGCTTTGTAGTAAGTTTTGAAATCAGGAAATGTGAGTCCTCCAACTTTCTTTTTTTAAGATTGTTTTGGCTATTCTGGGTCCCTTGAGCTCTATATGAATTTTAGTATCAGCTCGTCAATTTCTGCAAAAAAAGTCAGCAGGGATTTTGATAGAGATTGTGTTGAATCTGTAGATCAATTGGCCATTTGATTTTAAATAAAATACTTACATATCCACTTCTTGATATATTGACTTGAGACAGTTCCTGTGCTGTTTCTTTGTTATGAAAAATGAGGACTTTATCATATTCATCTCTCACCTCACCTTTTCCTGACTTCCTGGTTTTTGTGAAGGTGTTCTAGGAGAAGCTCTCCAGGTTGACCTCCACTTGATCCCCCAAATTAAATGGCACTGTGGTTTCTGCTGTAAAACATACTGCTAAACCCAGCTTGTTTATATCAGTTGTGTTTGTTATTGTAATAACATAATTTAATTAGCTGTTACATCAATCGGTGAAACATGAGTGCTAAAAGAGAATGTTTCTATGAAAACTAAGTTGATTGCTTTAGAAAGACAAATACAAACGAGTCACCAAAAAAAAATTATCACTTTGGGGGGACATAGTTGTAAAAATACGGTAAAAATCCAGAAGCGTTCTGTACCCAGGTGATTCGAGAGTGTCTCAGTGCTTGCCACTTTAAAGAAGATGATTCTGGAAATCATAGACCATGTATTATGGATACAGTTCATACAACAAGAATATGGAAACTCTGGTGGCAGATTCACACTCAAAGAAAAGCCAGTGGCCCTTCACCTAGAGATGGGCCAGTGAATGTGCGTTTCTGACTTGTCAGTTAAAATTAAGTGTTTAAGGTTTGTCTGCAGCTGTTTGTGCGATTCTCTGCTTTCACGAGTTTTCTGATTAACTGAACACTACTGATCTTGATGACAGTGGGTATGAGGGCTCTAGCCGTATTTTTGTGGTTGTTATTAGTGTTAAGGTTAGAGCTTTTAGATTTTGTTTTCTAACTATAATTAAGGCTTCTATGCTTTGCCTCTAGGTTGATTCTAAAAACGTAAACCTACTAAAATAGCATGTATAGTATTTTGATTATGGAAATACCGTTCACCATAGAATAAGTAGTGCAGTTGAAACTTTATGCACTTTTATGTTTCATAACTCCTATTGCTGGAATGTTTTTTT